AAATGAAAGAGGAGAGATATAGATAGATAGTTAGAGAGGGAAGGAGGTTGTTGTGGTGGCGGTTGTTGTGGTGTCGGGGAGGGGGGTTGGGGTCACCTCCATTCCTCTGCCGTCCGTGAAAGAGAAGAGCTCATGTGGGATGAACACATTCGTTTATTCATTCGGCCCATCTATTTTCAGCCCAGTGGGTTTATGGTTATTGGAAAGGCGTTGCCGTCTCGCTCCTTCCCAGAAGGAGTCAATATTTCTCCCTCTCCTTCATTTCTCCCTCTCTGCCTCTTTTTCTCTAATTCAATATTTTATCCAAAACACCACTCTCTCCCCTTCATGCACAGGCAAGGAATGCTGGAAGGCACTCGCAGGGAAACAAAACACGAGAGAAAGGCACGCAGCTCTGCGCACACGCAGAGAAGAATGCGAGAGCGCGGTGCCAACAAGGATCCCGTAAAAACTCGGGACATTTCCCACTTCCTTTGTCTTATCACACTTATCCATCACTGCTTGCTTGTCTTGCTTACTGATGCATCTTTATCTCTCTCTCTTCATGGCTCTTGTGGGGCTCTCGAGACCGACTGCGGCCTTTTTACAAGGCTGATGTTTGCTAATGACTTTTAATGATGACTGGTTATGGCTCATAAAACCTGGCTGTGTTACTGGCATTATCAAGTTTGACTACAGCACAGTGCCGTGCTGATGGCACACACTGGGGTCCTTATCAGGTGATTAAAATCAGAAAAGACAGTAAGGCCATCCTTGTGAGTGGGAAATGTGCGTGAGGGTGGGGGTAGGGAGGGCGCTGGTGCCTGTAATGCAAATGTGGCCCTAATAATTGCAGCACACAGAGCAAAAATCAGTGTCAAATGGAGGAGAGAGGTGTTTTGTAATAGACGCGCCTCACTCCCAGCCAGTTTTGATCAGCGGTGGAGAAATTCCCACAAACCTTCACCTCCAAATATTGACTTAGTCTCAGGGACGTGACGGAACTGGGGCTTTGTTACAGATAAAAACAGAGGATAGTGCCAGTTTAGTTTGGGCCCGAGCCTCATCAGAGCACCAGTGTGGAAATGTACCGGAGCTTCAACGCTCAAGCCACCGAGTTAGTTTCGAAAGTGAAGCGAAGACGGGATCGTTTTCAATACTTTTTTATCCAATAAGAAACATTTTTTAAAAGGTTATATGAGTAAAATTACATTTATTTAGCCAATCCTTGTATGTCGCTTCTTACAAACCTATTTTCGTTGTGTTAATTTTAAACTTCAGGCAGGTGTATTTAGAATATCTGCTGACTCTGTAACCACAGATTACGATGAAATAATCCAAGAGTGCAAACCTCCACTCTGTGGGGAGTATTTACTTTAATAGGAATAGTATTTTATTTTGTAAAGATTCATTTTTTTTCTTTTTAACCCTACTTGTAGAAGTTTGTAGTGCAGTAAAAATCCATTAATGGTAGCATGACAGAGGTTTACTTTGATTACACAAACAGTATGTAGATAATGGATAATAGCTATTGATTTGTAAATAGGTGGTCATGAATAACTTGAGCTCATTATTTAATATTATACTGCGGGCAGCTCATTCTCTTTCTTTTGATGATACTTTCTTTTTAAAGATAAAACACATTTTGGGGTCAACTTGAAAGAAAAACAGATGTAAAATGTAAAAGTGAGGTCAGAGGTCACATGACATGATATTTCTCTTGTGGATGCAAGCCCAGTCTACACCCCCCCTTTAAAGTCTTGCCAGAATTAGCTCAAAACCTTGCGAACTATCGCATTTACAGACAGAATGACACGCAAACGCCACCAATCTTACTTGTAAATGTGGGATATCTAAAATATTTTATTCAGAAACATTTCAAATCTTTTAGATTGCTGAAATATCTGAAAATATCACTCAGAATAAGATGCCTGATGGTGGAATAATTACTACTAAATTACAAATTACTTGTAAATTAAAGCCTATAATGTTAAAAACATACATTTCTTTCAGGGTCCTCACAATCCACCACACCAGTGGACTGTAAATGTCACGCCAGTCAGACTCAGCCTTTCAGCTCAGCGTGGAGATAAATGTCAGGTCCAAAGTGGATGTGCGACCCTTGAAGAATCTTGAGGTGTCATAGTTATTTCAGAGTATTCGTGGCTACAACACGGCATAAACAAATCGTGCAAAGTGGCACAGGAGCAGACAGATAAACGCGCACAGGTGCACGGACACATTTATGAAACACATGCCGGACAAACTGCGGTCCGTGCTGAGAGTTACAAGGCAAATGTGTTCAAATTCAACATGTGTGCTACACAGGACATGACTGATCTGCTTTTAGATTATTATTAGAAACTCACTCACAGACCAGGTGAAATAACTTTAATTTTCACCCATTCATCTAGATTTTGGTGTTTAAATGATACTAGTGTACAGTGTTTTCTGTTTTTTCAGTATTAGATAACAGACATTTTAGATGTCTGTCATAGATAAAGCAGCATTATGTGTGTAGAGCTGTTAAAAAGTTATTTCTGTGTAAATTATAGTAAATAGAAGATATAAACAAGCCTTAAAAGTTCTGAATAAGAAATCCCAGCAGTATCATTGCAGTGAGATTTGTATTAAACACAAAATATTCCATTTTGAGAACAGAATTTTGCACTCAAATGCACATTCTTGGCTTTAAAGTCATTCGTTATGCCTCCAACTTTACTTAGAGACGATGACGACAGCTGAAAGGGGCCGACTGTTCCTAAAAGAAGCGTTGCCTTTGCACAATCCCCAAATCCAGAACGAGTTGAAAATGTGTAGATTTTCATATCTTTCCATGTCGTGCAAAATATAAACTGATGGGATAGGTTGCTTGTTAAATGAGGTGTGTTATAGATGAAAGAATTAACATCTGTGTGTGGGACTGTGTGTGTTACCTTCCAAGGAACTGCAGATTGAAATGATCTAGTAGCCAAATGTGGTTCAAAGACTTTTTTTTAATGTTATTAAATCAGTGTTTTTGTGTGTGGGGCCTGAAAAATAAAGAACAAAACTAAACTAAACATACAAGGGACAAATAACCTCCCAATTAATGTCATTTTTTGAAGCCTGTAAAGCTCCGTTTATTGTGTAGTTTAGGACAATATATGCACCACAAGCTACAGCCTCATAAGTCTTTTACAAACAATATAAACACTGTTTTAAAAAAAGTTTTTTTTAGGCTGCTGATTCACCCTGTGAACGCTTTTGAACATACATGCAGATTTCTTAGGAGAAGAAGGTGTGGGCGTAGGTTTTTGGGTAATAGCAAGACTCATAAGCAGGGATCAGGTCTTTCCCTGGGCATTTTTGTAATTTCCTTGACTTCTGGGGAATTCTGTAGCTTTATGGTGTAAATTAATGATAAAAATGTATCAACTGCCCCGATGGTTTCCTAAATACATTCTCTGTTTGGTTCATGTTTTTATTGGGAGTAAAAATGCATTTGTTGCAGGCGATACGTTTCCTGTGTTCCATGAAATCTAGATCTATGAGCATAAAGGAAACACACCACCCCGACTATTTGAAACACATGCAATTTTCCCCCTCAGTGAGAACATGAAAGAAGCAGTAATGTTACTTATGAAAACAAGCAGGCAAGTGTGGTTGAATTGCCACCTGGTGTTGGATTTTTTTGTTTTCCTTTACTTAAAAACGACATTTGCATCTTAAACCACTGTGAAAAAAAGTAATGCATCAGAAATCGAGGAAATTAAGTCAAGTCAGACCCATGAATGTAGGTTTTCCAGATCACAATAGTCAAGTGCAGTTTAACATGGCACCTGTCAATATCTTTTCTCTGCACACATTATAAAAAATAATTCAAAAACTGAAAAAACACAAAAAATGCAGTTACTTAAAGTAGATGTGCATATGTGACCCTTGTTTTTCACATGAAGTGAGACAGTACAATGTGCAGACGCATCCCTGCAGAAATAATGTTGAGAACCTGACAGAACAGTGGCTAAAATGACAGCTCGCGATTTGAGAAGTGCTTTGAAAAGAAAAGGGCCGAGTTTGAAAAGACCATCAAACAAACTTCAGTTTTCTTTTGTGCTTAACAAGCACAAAGTGTCAGCAGAGCTGCTTCAGATAAAATGCAGTTTATATGTCTTTCACGTGCCCTTCATCCTCACCAGGACTCACCTAACGAGTGTACACGTGTGCAATAATAATAATAATAATAATAATAATAATAATAATAATAATAATAATAATAATCTTTGCTGGAATTTTAGCGCCATCTTGAGGTCCAGGCCGCTTTGCGCACTTGGATGCGCCTATAGGTCATCCATTAACTTCCCTTGCAGTCAATGA